TTAACACACGGAGACATAACAATATTAATAGCATATAGAATATTAAATCTAAATAATTGCACAAAAATCTTAATGGCATGCTGAATACAATTCTACATTAGATAACAACTTAAAATACTATTTGCAATCAAAGGTTAACAAATCAAGTGTTTTAAGACATTCCACTTCTTTTCTTGAGTTTTGAGATGCAACATTAAGAGCCTGCAAACTATTTATTCAGTGTGCATAACTGTGTGTATACCAGAAGATGCTATCAACTCTCTCAACACAGGCTCAGTCGAATTGACTAACCACATGACCACATTGTACTCGTTTGAAGTCATTATAGTTTTGATACTATTAACTTTTAGTATGTATATAGCAGATTTTCAGTAAACATTATGTCTTTCACATACAAAAAATAATAAACTAAAAAAAGATTTGTTCGTGAATACATCCAGTTTTTATTTTTTACCAGACCGAATGCAAAGTGATTTTCATGTAAACATTAGAAATACTTTTCTTCATCTCAAAAATCTAAAATTTGCTTCGCGTAATCTCTTTTTCCTGTTATTTTGTCTACCTTAACTCTATACAAGGTTAGTGAATTTGACTGACCTCATACCCACCAAAAATAATCTAAATAACTCTAAATTACCCTTTTTTCTTTCTAGAATGACTTCAAATTGTAACATGAAACTACATTCATTTATCCTACATAGCTTTAAACTCATAACAGTATACATATATTTATACATAGATTTTATTGCTCTTTGAACCATGTCTAACTACTATCATGCCATTATAAGTTTTAAATCATTTGGGGAATGTGGAGCTCACGTTATGCTAGAGAATTACATTACCCACAAGCTACTCTGAGCTGCTCAAGTGCATACCCCGTGAAAGGTTTTTATTATATTGTTATTATTATATATTTTACCTAATCTAACTTTGACTAACCTAAAGAGGTTCCTATTTTGACCTTTTAGTTACCTGTATAATAATAAATAAAGAATACACATGAAAAACAAGTCGTTTTTTTTGCTGTAGACTGTCAATGACACTTAACCCTACTTGTTTTATACTAATGGTAGTAATGTACTAAATAATTTTTATATAATTAAAGAATGCACCAAAGAACATAGAATAATAACATGCAAAAAGCAAACAGTATCCCATAACTATCACAATTTTTCTGGCTTTCTAGCTATGTAACAAATGCTAGCCGATATGTTTCCCATGGAAATAAAGCTTTTTTAAAAGAGACATTGACAATTCTCTGTTCAGAAAGCAACTTAATATAATACGCCATTCGATAGATGAAAACCTTGGTTTTGTATTAGTTATAAATAATATAGTATTAAATGTGAGAGAGAACTATTAACAAATCCTGAAAAAGAGGATGTGACAGGTGGGTGTGGCAAGAGGAGTCTGATTTACTATTTGATGGCTCTGTAACCAAACAAGATTGAAGGCTATAAAAATTATGGTTTGTCTGAGTGATGACGATTTGACAGTGAGTGGTTTATGTTAAATTTCCTACTTATTGGAGGGGCAGTGAATGAATTACAGAAGAGAGGATGCCTAGAGAAAAAATGTCACATTTTTCACACTAGGGAAAATTCAGGATTTTTTCAAATATTGTCTTATAAAATTAAGAACATAAAACTTATATACTATTAAAATATAGATGATTAGCTATGATTTTATTCTATACTAATTGGTATAACATAAACAAAAAGTACTTTAATTCAATTCTGAATGTAAGTCACTAAAATCCTCGTGACACGCACAATAAAGGATGCATGCGCAGAGAGTTAATAGCAGTTTTCTATGACCTTTATACTTATACCTATCTGAACCAGTTAGCACTTTTAAACCTTTGAGTGTGTGATTAAATTTCGGCGGGTTCTCGAAAAATTGTTAGTACTTTTTCAATATTAATATCCACTAGTTGAGCTTTTGCTTGGTGATGTATGCACACACTGCACTAAGGTGGGAAATTCAAGGAAGTGTGAGTATCCCAACTGTCGTGCTAACTGTCGGAAGAGTTTTTGTGACACTGTGGGGTAAATCCACTTGTCGCACCAAACAGCTATAAATGTAAAGTTGGATAAATCCAATTATAACATCCAAAGGGTTAAAGTGTCGAGTGCATACCTTCAAAAATTAAGTACAAATGATAACTGTTACTATTTCTATAATTTTTTACTAAAAAAATAATTTTGGAATAGTTGTAATTTTGTAACATTTATTTGGTGTAAGTTGCAAATACATATAACATATCCAATATTAATTCCGTGCAGCTCTGAGGAATCTCACAAGTAAACAACATAGATGTTTTTTAGATTTTTTCTGCAAATCCCAAAGTACATGTTTCTATTTAATAAGAAACTGTCCTATCTTGAGATTATAACTCATTTTCTTTTAGTTGTCTTTTTCACAACATCCTTTCATTCCCA